CATTAAATAGCTAATTACAATCAGCGATGTAAAGTAGGTAACATATAAAGTTAGAACAGTTCAACTATTGTAGGATTTAAGTTGATAATAACCTTCAGGGCCAGGGCTGTAGCTCAATTATAGGCAAAGTGCATGTTTAAAATGTACAAGGCTCTGGCATATCTGAAACAATAAATGACTTATCTTCTGGTCAGAAGTATATCTCACTAAGGAAAAGGTAAAACAGGACAGGAATTTTTAAATGGTGCTTCAAATTTGACATATTTGAATACCATTGATTCAATAACACTTCACAATGTTTCACAAAGAAATAAGGACTTAGTACAAGTGGAAAGATAATTATTATAACCTTTATTTTGACATTTATAGAGGCACAATTAGATCAAATGTGAGCTCTAAATTTTCAGTTTTGTAACAGAAGAAAGTGTCCCTTTATCTCAGGCTGAGGGAATAGTTCACAATGTTTTTAAAATCTAAAAGTTAAGAGAAAAAAACAAGTAACCTGTGGCACGGCATGGTAAAGCAACCAGAAGAAAGGAAATGTACTGATTTGATATGACGTCTGTCTTTCTATTTTTCCACCTCTTACCATCTATATTCCTTCCTGAAAGACAGACAAAAACTTCTTAAAACATGAGTGGCACTTTAAATGTATCAGGATTTTTAAATGAACTATAATTGCTGGGCGGTAGCTGCACACATACTTAATTCCAGCGCTCTGGATGCAGAGGTAGGTGGGTCTCTGTGAATTCAAAGCCAGCCTGGTCTACAGAGCAAGTTTTATGACCTCCAGGGCTACACAGAGAAATCCTGTCTTAAAAAAAACTAAAACAAAATTAACTCTAATTTGTTTGAGGCCATGGCAGAGGTCTCACAGGCTGACTACAAAGCTACAATCCTAAAGTTCTAGGATTATAGGTGTCTAAAAACATGCCCAGCCTCTCTGAACTTTTTTTTTATGCTTGTAAAAACAAATATATTTAAACCTGGTAAATTATTCTGTTAAAATCCTTATTTTCAAACTGAAATATTATCTCCATATTTTATCTTCCAGTAAAAACTGTTATATACTCAGTATTTATTAAATTGAGCCATACTTTCTGGGTAAGTGCTATATTTCATTTAGGGTGGGGAGATAAGATTACAATTACTTTGAATCAAAGCTCCACCGGGGAAATCTAGGAATGGTAGGTAGGAGATTCGGAAGTCTATGACTTGCCAAGAACTTCAGCCATCCCTATCAACAATTTAAATACTTATGTTGACTTTTGTACACTAAGCAGGTCATCCAACTCTCAGACTTGATACTTCTCTGGAGAGTTTGAATCACCTTCTTTTTTTAACATATACAATCATTCATATATACATTTCAATATCATCTCTAGAAACACATCAGTATGCCTAAATCACTATAAAATTTCCTATAGTTACATCTGTTTTGTTTTGTTTTGGTTTGGTTTGGTTTTTCGAGACAGGGTTTCTCTATAGCTTTAGAGCCTGTCCTGGAACAAGCTCTTGTAGCCCAGGCTGGCCTCAAACTCACAGAGATCGGCCTGCCTCTGCCTCCCGAGTGCTGGGATTAAAGGCGTGCGCCACCACCGCCCGGCCTATAGTCAAATCTTGTTCTGACTTTTTGTACATTTTTAACATTGGAAATAGAGTGGATTAAAAAGAAAAGATTAGACACCTCAATATTAGCGACTTGAAAGTCTGAGTTCTAATGCAGCCAGGTGAAGCCTTGACTCAAAGAGGGGGATAGGGATAGAAGTCAGTGATATAAACCTCATTTAGCATTTGCAAAATTCTAGGTTCAATGCCCAGCACTGTACACTCAAATAAGATGTGTGTGTGTGTGTGTGTGTGTGTGTGTGTGTGTATGTGTGTGTGTGGTGATGGGTGACATACATAACTCTCAAGGAAGCAAATTTTAATTTATCTAAAAAGAAAAATCAAGAGTTAGTATATGGTAGGTTTTTAAAATTATTTATATGATATTGTGGATATTGTGCATATGGTTATCATGCCAACTTGTATAAACTTTCTTTAGAAAGCACCTAAGTTTGTTAGCTCACCTAACTACCAAATACTATTTCATAAGGAAAAGATGCGACTGTGACATGCTCAAATTGCTCTCAATCGTAATTAAGGTGAATTAATCAGGTAACCATTTGGTTTGGTAATAGCTACTTAAAAACGGTATTCTCTACTTTGGATAGACTTAAGCTTCATGGTAACCCAGCAGATTCAACACTGAACACGTGTATTCAGTATTACAGAAAACTCCCAGAGTGAAGTTCCAGTCTTTACTCTGGCTCTTGTCTTTAACCTGCTTTCTTCACCTCTGACTTAGTTTATCTCTCCCTCATTCCTCTGTTCAAGCCACACTGGCTTCTCTGGGATGGCTGAATACACACTGGACACTTTAAAAAATTAACTACCAATCATGTCTTCAGACTTCTTTAATTTCTGCCTAATGCCCTTGTTTCTGTTTGGTTGGTTTGTCCAATTTTTGTTCCATAAAATGCTTTTATTTTGAATACATGAAGAGACATTATCTTCCCAGTTTTGGGTAGCATGAAGAAATGAAATGGGCTTGATCGTCCTGCAGTAGTTGAACTTAGCAGTATACTTTTGAAAACCAAGTTGTAGCAGTTCACTTGCTAAAAGATGCATTTTTTTTCAGTTTTTAAATTTATTTATTTATTAAGGATTTCTGCCTCGTCCCCACAACCGCTTCCCATTTCCCTCCCCCTCCCCCCGATCAAGTCCCCCTCCCTCATCTGCTCGAAGAGCAATCAGGGTTCCCTGACCTGTGGGAAGCCCAAGGACTGCCCACCTCTATCCAGGTCTCGTAAGGTGAGCATTCAAACTGCCTAGGCTCCCCCAAAGCCAGTACGTGCAGTAGGATCAGAAACCCACTGCAATTGTTCTTGAATTCTCAGTATTCCTCATTGTCCACTATGTTCAGCTAGTCCGGATTTATCCCATGCTTTTTCAGACCTAGGCCAGCTGGCCTTGGTGAGATCCCAATAGAACATCCCCATTGTCTTAGTGTGTGGGTGCACCCCTTGTGGTCCTGAGTTCCTTGCTCGTGCTCCGTCTCCTTCTGGCATTTTTAACTTATATATAAAACATGAAACTGCACAGCGGTGCAGCGCAGCAGACTGCTTTTATTTGCAATATGCAATCCTTACGTCAGGTTAAGCGTATATCCCAAACATTTATCATTTCTGTGATAAAAAGCTTCATGTTTAGGCTCAGTCTCACTACTCAGCCTTTGCAGCACAGACACCCTCTGTCTCCAGAATGGTTTCCTTGGCATCCACGAGGCTAATTCCCACCACTTACTGTTCAAATCTGTCCTTCTCGATAATGCCTATCCAGCCCGGCTGGTAAAATTTCTAATCCCTTTCCCAGCCTCTATATTCTCAGTAGCCCTTGTCCAGTTCTGCTTTGCAGCATTTACAGCTTCCGCTTGCTATTTTATGGACTATGCTGACACGTGTGGTGTAAATGTCTATTTCCTATCTAGTAAGTTTCATAAGGGAAGAACTTTATGTCTTCTTTTTTTTTTTTTTTTTTTTGGTTTTTCGAGACAGGGTTTCTCTGTGGCTTTGGAGCCTGTCCTGGAACTAGCTCTTGTAGACCAGGCTGGCCTCGAACTCACAGAGATCCGCCTGCCTCTGCCTCCCGAGTGCTGGGATTAAAGGCGTGCGCCACCACCGCCCGGCACTTTATGTCTTCTTGCTGCTTCCTCATAGCCATGGTCAGAAGAGAACTGTGTGTCACAGTATTCTCTGTTTTCCTTTGCTGTCTAGACTGGTTTGAAACCATAGAGTCCGTGACTAAAAATGACCTTTTGCCTCAGACTCCTGAGTTTGGGCCCTACAGCCACCCCCAGTGTGATCCTCAAAAAGTGAATATTTTCTGATCTTGCTTACCTAAGCAGGAACCCAAGTGTGTGTCAATCAGTCCTGTGCTGTGTTTCAACACCTAAACTTCCTCAAAGAACACAACTTGTTTATCATCTGCCTCCAAATTTGGATGGGGAAAACCACATCAACTCCCAACCTCCATCAGGGAATGTTTGCATTTTCTAAGGAAGCAATATAGCTGGTAAAACTATAGTTTCACACGCACATACACGTAAGGAGAACTGTAGTTTCTCTCTCTCTCTCTCTCTCTCTCTCTCTCTCTCACACACACACACACACACACACACACACACAGACACACACACGGAGAACTACACGGATCCCCCAGCACTGGGATGGGGTGGGGATTAAATAAAATTTTAATGGTTCTGAACAAGTTTTAGTGCAGCATTAAAAAAAAAAAAGAAAACCGTCTTGAGATGTCTGTTGCTGAAGCAGAAAATGGAAATCCAGAAGGTAAAATTTCCTGCCGGGTTCTAGGTAACTCATCCTATTAGGACGAGCCTTGTACAAGGATGGTGTGTGAAAGCCAAACAAGTATTGTACGTCTGTCGAGCTGCTTTTCAGAAGTAGACTATGAAGATACCTGTCCTAGGTTTAGGTCAGCTCGGCTAAGCTTAAGTCCCATGAGTTAAACAAAAACACTTTAGTTGAGTAACTCAACAAATACATCCATGAAGGTCCCACCCCTTCGATCTTTCTAATCTCGGACAAGAAATTAAAGTCCAAATTTTAGAAGTAGCAGTGCCGTGAAATCCCAGGCGGGTAATTCACAGCCTAGACAGCCCGAGTGACGAAACAGCCCTGTCCTGGCCCTGACACCGGCCCCTCTGGCAGTGACCCCCTCGGGCAGAATGGATAGGGTGACTCACTTGGGGCCAGCCTTCCCCAGAGGGCAAACTGGGTCTGACGTCATGCTCTGAGACTCTGGATCCGTTTGGTGGGCTTAGGAACGACGCCTCAGAGCCGACCTCTCCCGAGTCAGTGGGGTCCCACCCGCAGGCGTCTCTCAGCACCCGCAGCCCAGCCCCAGCTCAAGAGCTCCGAGAGGGTGAAGTCCTGGCGAAAGCTGGAAGCCCCGCCCCGGGGCGTGGCTAATCTGGACGAAACCACTGTCTGGAGAGCGGGGGGCGGAGCCCCCTCTCTGGCCTGGTGCACGGTCTGCGCTCCGGGCTGGTGGCTCCTCACTACTGGCGCCGTCCCCCGCCGTGTATGGTGTGGCCCGGGGTCGCTGGTCACGCGTCGGGGGCGCGGCCTGCTCCCGACCTAGGTGGTCCCTTCGACCGCTGAGGAAGGAGTTGCTTGGAGCTGCGCGGGCAGCTGCGAAGATGCTGGGCCCACGGCTCCTCACCTGGGTCCTCCTGGCCGCGACTGTCACCTGCTCCCAGGCACAGCAAGTGCCGCCGGTGGGTGAGCTCCAGCCGAGGCGCAGATGGGGGTGCAGGTGCAGGCGCGGGCGCAGCTGTGGCGGGGCGGGTGGGGGCTAGAGACACCTGCTCGCTGGCTGCATCTTTCGGGATCTTGAGGGTCGGTCCTGGGGAGAGTGAATGCAAACCCGCCTTGTGAGCCCCGGGCGTAGTTGCTTTGTAACTCTCTGTCTCTCTGGAAAGAGAATACGTTTTAGGGAAATCCTAGGCTCCGTGAACGACTGGGTAGGGTTCGGTCATTCTGCAATCTTGATGTTAATATTTGAACTACCAGCTGTAGGCAGAACTCCCTGGAGAAAAAGCTACCTATTGCCTGTTGACTTTGCCATGTTCTGTCTGGTTACCAAGTGCTTTCTCCTGAAGAAGCCCACGCAGGAAGCTGCGGGTCACATGCAGCCTTAGCTCTGATAGTGGGAGCCGTTCTCCCCCGCCCCCGCCCCCCCCCCCCCCCCCCCCCAGCAAGCTGTACTGACTGTCGCTTGCACGCCCTGTCTAGGAATGCCTGTCCCGTGGTGCTGAGAGACCCAGTCGCAAGGCCACAGACTTTATTTTATGGAACCGCAAGAGACAGTGAGGGACTAGCATGACTCTTGCATTTAATACAAGAGGAAGTAACCCTAAGGTGCAAATCTAGCCAGAGGTCGCATCATAATTCACATAAACATTTCTAAATCCAGTCTCTTGGCAACAGTCTGATACCAACAAGTCATGAATTGTTTCTTTTTCTCCCTTTATTTATTTATTTTTTTCAACAAGCTATAGACCTGAAGGGTGTTTGCTTTGTTGCCAGCAGAGTTGAGAACTAGGAACCTGAATGTACCTTACCTGAGGCAGGACATCGAAAGTGGTAACAGTGGAAGTTTGTTTATTATTTTATTCCTGGAAGGAGAAATGCTTTTGGAATTAAAAAAGGAAGGGAGGGAGGGAGGGAGAGAGGGAGGGAGGGAAAGAGAGAGAGAGAGAGAGAGAGAGAGAAGCAAAAGGCAGGATATTATCTAGTCACCAGAGTAAACACTTAGCTATAAGTAGAATTCAGAAAATAAGTATGCAGAGCAATTCCCGTGACCCAAACCCACACCGTATATACAGACAATTGCAAACCCACACCGTATATACAGACAATTGCAAACCCACACCCTATATACAGACAGTTGCAAACCCACACCGTATATACAGACAATTGAAAGATTATAAGGAAGAACAAAACGTTTGCTCAGTGCAGATAGGGAATTGATTCCTGAGCTCGGTTGGGCTTGTGAGGATTGTTCAAGGATTTGGTATTTGGATAGCCTGTGCCTTTTTTTTTTTCCCAGAGATTACCAAAGGGACTCACAAATAGTTGAGCAAATTAGGTTTAGAGTCGAAGAGAAGGATTGAGAAAGTACCTTTTCAACCATGGGCTAAATAACAACAAATTAAAGAAAAAAAATCTCATTAGAGAATTTGGGCTCAATCCAGGATCTGTTCTAGATTGGGTGTCTTTAGAACACTGAGCAATTCCTGATAACAAGTAGCATTCTTTCTCTTAGCAGCAGAAGGGAGGGTTGTGTTTTTGAGATACATGGTGTTTTGAGATACATTGTGTTTTGAGATACATGGTGTTCTTTATCAACTTGTGGACAAAATAAGCTTGCTTTGTCTCATTTTAATGTCTCCAAGGAACAAATTCTCTGAGCATGTTTGTGTCCATGAACAGAACAAAGATACCTATATTCCTCTCTAGTGTTAGTTCATGTGAACTGTAGTTCCATGTACTGGGAGCTGGTTGTTACTATTATTTCTTTTTCTTTTTTTTTTTTTTTTGGTTTTTCGAGACAGGGTTTCTCTGTGGTTTTGGAGCCTGTCCTGGAACTAGCTCTTGTAGACCAGGCTGGTCTCGAACTCACAGAGATCCGCCTGCCTCTGCCTCCTGAGTGCTGGGATTAAAGGCGTGCGCCACCACCGCCCGGCAGTTACTATTATTTCTTAATATTTTGTTTTTAAGTGAACATATTTTATTGTCTGTTTCCTGATTAGTTTTTTTTCAGCACTAGAGTGCTCACCCAATACCTTGCATGTACGAGGCAAGCACTTAACACTGAGCTACATCCTTAGCCCATGCAAAATATTTAGTGGTTTTCAAAATATGAAAAATCAATAGCTTGATTTAATAGTTTTACTCAGAACTGTAGGTAGATTTTTCTTTTGGCCACTGGCTCACAAATAATGACATGGAGACATCATAGTAATTATGAACGCTTGACCTTTAGCTTAGGCTTGTCTCAACTAGCTATTACAACTTAAATTAACAGGTTATATTAATCTACGTTCTGTCGCATGGCTTTTTACCTCTCTTCTATCTTGCACATCCTGTTTTCTCTCTGGCTGTATGCCTTCCTAGATTCTACCTCCTCTTCCTTTCCCCAAAAGTCCTACTTATACCTCCTGCCTAGCTATTGGATATTCAGCTTTTTATTACACCAGTCAGGGCAACACAGCATACAAATATTCCACAACATTTCCTCGTTTTTGTCTAAATAAAAAAAGAACAATTATCAAGTAAGAATTGCATTCACAATGTTTAGTCCATATGTATTTGGGAAATTTGGAGAAAGTACTATTTTATCTATCCTATTATAATGAGTCCAAAATTTTATACCTAAACTATTTTCTACTATAACTTGCATTACCATCCTAAAAATATCTTTTTAGACCTTAAAACATTTTCTTAGATAAACAATTTAAGCTTTTATGTTTCTCAAACTTGCAAACTTTACATTTCTTTTTTTTTTCTTTCTGGTTTTTGGATACAGGGTTTTCCTGTAGCTTTGAAGCCCATCCTGGAAATAGCTCTTGTAGACCAGGCTGGCCTTGAACTCACAGAGACCCACCTATCTCTGCCTCCGAGTGCTGGGATTAATGGCGTGCGCCACCACCACCACCCAGCTCAAACTTTACATTTCTTATATTAAATTTTTCTCCTGAATTTTGTAATAAGGAAAACTGTAACTATAGTTGCCTGGTCTTCAACCCCATCAAAGACTGGAGAAGGATATATTACTACCTGAGTAAATAGGAAGTGTAGAGTAAGCAACTTCCAAAACTATAGAAATGACATAAACTGTGGACTGACTGCCTGTACAATCACCCAAGGTTCCTCTGCAACATTGGGACATCCATCTTTGGCCTAAAGACCTAGAATGTCTGACAGACTTTCCTGTGAAGCAGGAATTTTTGAAGAACTGTCCTACCTTGTCTTGGCAAAGTTTGGCATTTAACTTTCTTTTGTGCCCTGCTTGTCCAGTTTGTACAGCATACTATCAGGAGTCAAGGGAAGGGCAGTTTCTTGCCCAAGTGGCTAGCTTTGCCACAATAAAAGCAAATTCCACTTGGCAGTTTTTCAATGCCTATCATCCTTTTTTGAAGTAGATTGGTACTGCCAGAAACAGCTGTGTCTTACTGCCCTAGAAAACCTTATATTATTAAAACATTTTAAATGCCATAATCAGTAGGTCTTTGAAATATTCGAAGACTATCTATCTAAAATGTATTTCTGTATGCCTTGGAAACATACCTAACACGACTACAAGTTTGATTGTTATAGATGACTATTAGCCTGGTTTGTTAATTATCCTAAATGGTTTATAATAACTGCCTTTCAGGACTAGAAATTTACATTTATTAATGACCTATATAGGTACACTACCTTAAACATATACATTATAACAAAAATCTTAAGTTTGCATCAATATACAAAAATCCATAGCAATATAAAATATTTGACGCTAGTAGTTGTTCAAAAGTAGACTCGACAACCCACCCTTTTATCCCATCATTCTATATCCCCCCTCTTCCCTTCAGAAAGATACCTGAGTTTAATCTCTTGTTCAGCTTTTTTTCCTGGCCATGACCAACAACTTGTACTCAATCCCCCTAAATGATGATAAACATCCATAATCCATTGAATGACCAAAACCACCCACCTCACTTCTTGGGAATGTGGGAGTTGTGTTCTCTAGACTGCTTCCTTTTGCCTGGGGGTGATGGCATCTTTAGGGGACCCTGAAAAGATTGAGATAATGGTCAAGTCCTGGGACAGCTAGCTGTTGTCCAGTCTTGGTGTGATGAGAACATGCAGGACTTACCTTAAGTTCTGGCTGGAGTAGTCTGTGAGGCTGGATTATCTCATCTAGCAACTTTGGAGTAATTTTAGTTGCAGAACTTTAGGGAAACTGCAGCAGAGGCATTTATCTGGACTACTGGTCTTTATTGATGTCTAGTCCTTTTTTCTGAAAACACATATACTTTTAAAGGTAACATATATATCTGTATTAACACAAGTATAGAATGTGTGGTGTGCACAAGTCAGCTAAAGATTCTTTTGTTTTGTTTTATGTTTGAGCAGGTAAAAGGCACCTATTAACTTTATAAATCCTTTTGGACTATATAACCAAACCTCTATCCGCGCCATATGAAGGGATGGCATGTGATAATAAGTTGCAAGGACTCTGTAGCCAACAAGATTTATCATGTCTCATCCAGCCTCAGAGCTGTTCCCATAGTAGAGGAATCAGCATATATGACACCTGTCTTGTAGTCTTTCTTGGTTTCTTTTTTCATATATGTAGACAAAATTTATAGGAGGTCTCCTCCAATCAAATCTGCCCTTCATTAATTTTGAAGAGAACCATAACTTTCGGATTCCTGTGGAAACAAAGGCATAACTCTGCCCCACACGTTTTCCGACTTCCATCCTGAAAATATATAGTTGGTTTAATTTAGGAATTTCCATAATCCCAATGTTTCTCAGCAACTGTTGTTTTTGTCCATTGACATTTAAGTAATTCAAAGTTAACAAAGCATGGCCTTTTCCTTTTATATTACTTTACTCTCTCTTTAAAGACTTTCTTGTTTTTAAACTATTTTTTAATGACTGTCTGTACCCATTTTCTTTTCTTTCTTTAGCATCTAAGCACGTTATTAAGCATACTGTATCTGTT